ATTATATGATATTTGGAAGGGAAATACGGACTTGGATCATCGGGGATCGAACGCCCATCCTGTAAGATAAATGGCCTTCGCTATACAACATTAAAGACTCAACATCTTAATATGAACTCATAAAATACAAAATATATTCGATAACAAACGTGTTTTGACGTTTTTAAGGTTTTCAATATATTATTAATAAAAATACAATAACGAGAGCCTTGCTTGTTTCTTCATCACACCAGACTATAGAAAAGACAGACCCGAAGAGCTGGATCACTATCCCAGAAAAGCAGAACAAGATGAGTATGCATATATATTATATTTCTTTTAGAATAGGTCAGAGTAAACGCAAATGGTTGAAACTTCCACAACAACAATGGAATGTTGCGTCGCCAGTGGCCGGCCTGAGGGAGGACGTGGACCAGCACTTCCTCGCCAGAGTTCGTGCCGTAGTTCCTCCTGCTGTGTCATACCGCAGTCACCAGTACCAGGCAGGAAACGCTCCTGGACGCACCGGAGACAGACGCTCGTACACCGTCGCCCAAGTCTGACATAACTTAGTCCGTGACACCGACACTCTCACACCGATGGAAAACGATAACAAAACAAAATAATCTAAGTAAATTAACTCTTATAGATTAAATATATAATTCATTTATCTGGATTAGTCTTCTGAAACCAATTCTTGGCTCCAATTTGATCCATATTATCGTCTTCGTGACGAAACGGTTTCCTTGAAATGGAGTCACGCTTCACAACACGCAGGTGAAGATTGCCTCATGTTGACGCCTTCCCACGGAAAGCTGCAGAAGATGAAGTCAATAATACTTGTCAGGTAAGTGGGTCATTATTTTAATTATCAGTGAGACGAAGCAACCACGCTGATTGACTGATTGATGAAGATTAAGCCACCCAAGAGGTGGCACGGACATGAACAGCCTGTAACAACCACGCAGTTGTTGTTGTTTTAGATTCAGTTACTCGGAACAATAAGTTCCAAGTAGTACGGGGCTACTATGGTCCACTATGGTGAGCCCATAGTGGACCTGGCACAGGAGCGGGGCTGTAACTGGGATGAACCACGCATCATTTATATTATATATATATATATATATATATATATATATATATATATATATATATATATATATATATATATATATATATATATATATATATATATTTTATTTATATATATATATACAAGAATGTACATTGGGTTTGTGAGAATGCAATGGATAGTACAGTATTTACATTCTTGTGAAGCCACTAGTACGCGCAGCGTTTCGGGCAGGTCCTATCTGCTATCTGCAGGTCCTATTTTATCATTGACTGATAAAGATTAAGCCACCCAAAAGGTGGCACGGGCATGAATAGCCCGTAAGTGGTGGCCTTTTTGAGCCATTACCAGTATCAAGAGCTGATACTGGAGATCTGTGGAGGTGCGACTGCACCCTGCGTGGCGGGAGATGTCTCCCGTGGAATCACGCAGGCTATACCATCTTCTTATAGGCCGCCTTACCATCACCACGTCCCCGTCTACATTAACACATCATCGTCTACCTGGCAACATCATCTTTACAACACACTATTTTCGAGTGTTGTTAACGGGAGGATGGGTGTATCGTCGGGAGCCGGTCGACCGAGCGGACAGCACGCTGGACTTGTGATCCTGTGGTCCCGGGTTCGATCCCGGGCGCCGGCGAGAAACAATGGGCAGAGTTTCTTTCACCTTATGCCCCTGTTACCTAGCAGTAAAATAGGTACCTGGGTGTTAGTCAGCTGTCACGGACTGCTTCCTGGGGGTGGAGGCCTGGTCGAGGACCGGGCCGCGGGGACACTAAAAAAAAGCCCCGAAATCATCTCAAGAGAGATCGTTGTTGATGTTTATTGAGTCATTAAGAGTAGCGGGGCGTACGGAGACTAGCGACACCTCGCCTCTAGCTCATCTTGCCCTCACATCTCTCCTGCCTGGAGGCTGGGAGGCAACTGGAGCACCAGGCTCATCTGGCGCCCGGCGCGGGAGATACGAACACTCACGCCTCTGATTGGCTAGTCTCCAGTCTTCAAGATTTCCGTTTACATACGCTGGATACATTGTCATCATCATGTTATCGAGACGATCACATCATCATCATCATCATTATCATGTCATCGTCTTGCCATCACCACATTAACAATACCCCATCTCTCTTCTCATTTAAAATGGTTTTTTTTCATTGTTGTGTAAACTGTTAATTAAACGACGCTTCTCGATCATCAGCTCATCAGTACACGAGATGCCCTGACACACCGAACACCCCCTACCCCTCACTATCGTCCCAGGCGGACCGAACACCCCCTACCCCTCACTATCGTCCCAGGCGGACCGAACACCCCCTACCCCTCACTATCGTCCCAGGCGGACCGAACACCACCTACCCCTCACTATCGTCCCAGGCGGACCGAACACCACCTACCCCTCACTATCGTCCCAGGCGGACCGAACACCCCCTACCCCTCACTATCGTCCCAGGCGGACCGAACACCGCCTACCCCTCACTATCGTCCCAGGTGGACCGAACACCCCCTACCCCTCACTGTCGTCCCAGGCGGACAGAACACCCCCTACCCCTCACTATCATCCCAGGTGGACCGAACACCACCTACCCCTCACTATCGTCCCAGGTGGACCGAACACCCCCTACCCCTCACTATCGTCCCAGGCGGACCGAACACCCCCTACCCCTCACTATCATCCCAGGTGGACCGAACACCACCTACCCCTCACTATCGTCCCAGGCGGACCGAACACCCCCTACCCCTCACTATCGTCCCAGGCGGACCGAACACCCCCTACCCCTCACTATCGTCCCAGGCGGACCGAACACCACCTACCCCTCACTATCGTCCCAGGCGGACCGAACACCACCTACCCCTCACTATCGTCCCAGGTGGACCGAACACCCCCTACCCCTCACTATCATCCCAGGTGGACCGAACACCCCCTACCCTTCACTATCATCCCTGGCAGACAGTACTCCCCCCCCTCCCCCTCCCCCCTACCGTCGACTCCAGCGGTTACCCGCTGAACTTTCAAACTCCAAATAAAAAAGCAAAGTCTTTATTACTGAATTTGTTACGTGTGGTAGAACAGTGTGGTGGTTGGCGGACTGGCAACCTCATCACTTGAGCACAACCGCAAGACTGGTGCATAGCTTCACCAAGCTGTTGTGGTTTGTAGTGTTCTTATCAGTGCTCGAAACCGGTTTCGATTTAATTAGCCTTCAGGACGAACCGAAACATCGTCACTTTCATATGTGGGTTGGGTTATATATTTGTTAATTATCATATTATAATCATGGCTTATTAGTAGTACTATCGAATATTTACCTAATTTTACCCACGTTGGGCAGAATTAGGGAATAATTATTTACGTAAATTCATTTCAGATTACTAAGTTAATTTGATGAAAATGTAAAGGAATACAAATAATATTATAAAAAGGTAACATTTCCGCATGTTATCAAGACTAACAGAACCCCAATATTGTATTGATATTTTGTAACTATAGCTCATCAAGACTGTAACTTGCTTAGCTAAATGAATTGTGGGGTTCAGTCCCTGAGCCCATTATGTGCCTCTGTAACCCTTTCCACTACCGCCCACAAGATGGGTATGGGGTGCATAATAAATAAACTAAACTAACTTGTATTGATATATTACTCTAAAAACATTACAGATTTTTGTAATTCCCAGCGGCCAAGTCCCACACCGGAACTGTCGTTCAAGTATGTTTATTGAGACAAGAAAGAAATACATCTCAAAGGGATAGAGTAGCTTAGGCTATTTCTATCCCCCCCCCCCCCCCGAAACTATCATGATGCTTCTCTCCTGGTTGACTCTCCAGGGGTTATCTTGAGATGATTTCGGGGCTTTTTTTTAGTGTCCCCGCGGCCCGGTCCTCCACCCCCAGGAAGCAGCCCGTGACAGCTGACTAACACCCAGGTACCTATTTTACTGCTAGGTAACAGGGGCATAGGGTGAAAGAAACTCTGCCCATTGTTTCTCGCCGGCGCCTGGGATCAAACCCAGGACCACAGGATCACAAGTCCAGCGTGCTGTCCGCTCGGCCGACCGGCTCCCCATCCCCTGACCGGGGTCAGCTGGAGCATTACCTCCAGAGCAGCGTGGCCAGCCACTCCCCATTTAGTATGGTATATACATATTTTACCGGTGATACAAAAGTTTACCTGGATTTACCAGAGGGCCGCCATTTTTCTAGCGGCCTCGACGGGAACAGGAAGACGACGGCTTGTCAAAGGGCCCCCATCATTTTACCTTATTTTTTTTTTCTACCGGGATTTTAAAATATAGTACAGTATTGTCTTCGCATTTACGGCTTCGACGGGTAGGAGGTTCCAAAGGTTTATAACTCTATGGGTAAAAACGGCATTTGTTTTCCGTCCTACATTGTGACTTTAAGGCTACAGAGCTCACATAACCTTGTGGCAGTAATGGCAGTCAACCTTGAGTTGACTGTCATTACTGATTCGCTCGGGACATCTGTCTTTATAACTGTGATTGTCACGATCGCGCGAACTGTCAGCTTTGTGGAAATCTTTTGTAATAGAGAAAAAATTGTTCCTTGCAGAGTTGGATGAGGCCTTGACCTCCAACCTCCACCAAGCTCATCCTCCACCCTCCCAGCTCTCTCTCTCTCGCGTTAGGTTACCTTTTAAAACAGGTAGATCTGTCAACTACCACGATCATTATGGATAAAATCTACCTCAGTTTCTAGCTCCAAATGTTCTTTAAATCCCGAACTGTGTCACTTATTAAAATAAGTCCATGATGCTGAGAATTGGCAACACCACCTGATACACAGAGTGTGCCCTCGCTGTGTGTGGTGTACCACACTGCACCTCTGCCCCCTCACACCGAGGACTTTGCAAGGTGTATTAGATGGAAATAGTCAACGACGGTAATTTTGCAGCAGAGAGCGTCCACCTGGTTTATGTCAGAAGTTATCAGTGACCTCTGTCTTGGTCCTCCGTGTCTTGATCCTCCGTGTCTTGATCCTCCGTGTCTTGGTCCTCCGTGTCTTGGTCCTCCGTGTCTTGGTCCTCCGTGTCTTGGTCCTCCGGGTCTTGGTCCTCCGGGTCTTGGTCCTCCGTGTCTTGGTCCTCCGTGTCTTGGTCCTCCGTGTCTTCGTCCTCCGTGTCTTGGTCCTCCGTGTCTTGGTCCTCCGTGTCTTGGTCCTCCGTGTCTTGGCCCTCCGTGTCTTGGTCCTCCGGGTCTTGGTCCTCCGTGTCTTGGTCCTCCGGGTCTTGATCCTCCGTCTTGGTCCTCCGGGTCTTGGTCCTCCGTGTCTTGGTCCTCCGTGTCTTGGTCCTCCGTGTCTTGGTCCTCCGTGTCTTGGTCCTCCGTGTCTTGGTCCTCCGTGTCTTGGTCCTCCGTGTCTTGGTCCTCCGTGTCTTGGTCCTCCGTGTCTTGGTCCTCCGGGTCTTGGTCCTCCGTGTCTTGGTCCTCCGTGTCTTGGTCCTCCGTGTCTTGGTCCTCCGTGTCTTGGTCCTCCGTGTCTTGGTCCTCCGGGTCTTGATCCTCCGTGTCTTGGTCCTCCGGGTCTTGGTCCTCCGTGTCTTGGTCCTCCGTGTCTTGGTCCTCCGTGTCTTGGTCCTCCGTGTCTTGGTCCTCCGTGTCTTGGTCCTCCGTGTCTTGATCCTCCGTGTCTTGGTCCTCCGGGTCTTGGTCCTCCGTGTCCTCCGTGTCTTGTCCTCCGTGTCTTGGTCCTCCGTGTCTTGATCCTCCGTGTCTTGGTCCTCCGTGTCTTGGTCCTCCGTGTCTTGATCCTCCGTGTCTTGGTCCTCCGGGTCTTGGTCCTCCGTGTCTTGGTCCTCCGTGTCTTGATCCTCCGTGTCTTGGTCCTCCGGGTCTTGGTCCTCCGTGTCTTGATCCTCCGTGTCTTGGTCCTCCGTGTCTTGGTCCTCCGTGTCTTGATCCTCCGTGTCTTGGTCCTCCGGGTCTTGGTCCTCCGTGTCTTGGTCCTCCGTGTCTTGATCCTCCGTGTCTTGGTCCTCCGTGTCTTGGTCCTCCGTGTCTTGATCCTCCGTGTCTTGGTCCTCCGGGTCTTGGTCCTCCGTGTCTTGGTCCTCCGTGTCTTGATCCTCCGTGTCTTGGTCCTCCGGGTCTTGGTCCTCCGTGTCTTGGTCCTCCGTGTCTTGGTCCTCCGGGTCTTGGTCCTCCGGGTCTTGGTCCTCCGTGTCTTGGTCCTCCGTGTCTTGGTCCTCCGTGTCTTGGTCCTCCGTGTCTTGGTCCTCCGTGTCTTGGTCCTCCGTGTCTTGGTCCTCCGTGTCTTGGTCCTCCGTGTCTTGGTCCTCCGTGTCTTGGTCCTCCGTGTCTTGGTCCTCCGTGTCTTGGTCCTCCGTGTCTTGGTCCTCCGTGTCTTGGTCCTCCTTGTATTGGTCCTCCGTGACTTGGTCCTCCGTGACTTGGTCCTCCGTGACTTGGTCCTCCGGGTCTTCGTGTCTTGGTCCTTCTTGAAGCGCCTGAGGGAAGCGTCGCTTGATATGCGTCATCTGTGATGCTCCCGGACTGGCTGCCTGGGCCTCTCTTGTTGCTAGTACTGCAGCATGATGCTACGGTGGGTGATGTTGCTGATGCTGAGTCTGTTCCTTGGTGTATGTCGTTAAAACTGAACGAAGATATTTAAGAAGGTGACTGAAGGAAACATTCGCTCGACTGATTCACTCTTTTTTCTAAAATTGTTCGCTTCCTTCCCATATTTTATCACACACTCTCACTCAGACGTCACAAGAGTCCACTTTATCTTATGTGACCAGAGACAGTTAAGCAACAGAGCAGCGACGTGTTCACTGACTGGAGGGATCAGTGCCATGGGATGATAAGGAGGGTGAGGGTGTCACCCGCTCGCCAGCCAGGATGAGGCAGGGAAACATTGGAATACGTGGATGCAGAGACAAAGAAAACGGGCGGCACAAGGTGGACGAAAAATTGGTTTCCCAATGTTGGAGAGAATAGATGAAGCCCAGCTCCATGTTGCAGTGGGTAACAGATGGTCCGCCTCACAGCCGACCACGTCAACCATGCAGGCAACTTTCTTTTAGCGGTACCAATGTCTGCAACAGGCACATGTTGAGACCTTGGTGCCCCAGTCCACAGTGATTTGAAATGTATTTGTAACAAGGTGGAAGCTGACCAATATGGCTTCCACGGTTTACACTACAGAAGCTCCTAGGGCTGGCTTGCAAGACGCAATGAAGTTAATGACATCAGAAGAAGCCTTGCCACAGTCGGCCAGCACAGAGGACCTCGATTTCTCTGTGGTGGACACAGACCATAAACTCTGACAGTCCCGTGAGTCGTCCAGATAGGATCACAATATATCCATGTTGAGTGGTAGTCATCTGGTATTGGACTACATAACTTGGTACGAAGTCAGAATCATCATCAGCAGCAGCATCAGCAACATAAGTATAAGCTGTATTAGCACCAATATTTAAAGAAACATAGAATTCCACATCCGGAGCAAAAACCACAACATTAGTAGAAGTAATAATGCCAGCATCAGCAGCATCACCCACCGTAGCATCATGCTGCAGTACTAGCAACAAGAGAGGCCCAGGCAGCCAGTCCGGGAGCATCACAGATGACGCATATCAAGCGACGCTTCCCTCAGGCGCTTCAAGAAGGACCAAAGACTCGAAGACCCGGAGGCTCAAGACCCGGAGGACCAAGACCCGGAGGACCAAGACACGGAGGACCAAGACACGAAGGACCAAGACACGAAGGACCAAGACACGGAGGACCAAGACACGGAGGACCAAGACACGGAGGACCAAGACACGGAGGACCAAGACACGAAGGACCAAGACACGAAGGACCAAGACACGAAGGACCAAGACACGGAGGACCAAGACACGGAAGACCAAGACACGGAGGACCAAGACACGGAGGACCAAGACACGAAGGACCAAGACACGAAGGACCAAGACACGAAGGACCAAGACACGAAGGACCAAGACACGGAGGACCAAGACCCGGAGGACCAAGACACGGAGGACCAAGACACGGAGGACCAAGACACGAAGGACCAAGACACGAAGGACCAAGACACGAAGGACCAAGACACGGAGGACCAAGACACGGAGGACCAAGACACGAAGGACCAAGACACGAAGGACCAAGACACGGAGGACCAAGACAGAGGTCACTGATAACTCCTGACATAAACCAGGTGGACGCTTTCTGCTGCAAAATTACCGTCGTTGACTATTTCCTGTCAAAGCAACTTGCGAAGTCATCGTTGCCAGGGGCAGAGGTCAAGTCCACAGTTTGATGCGACACAAGCACAAGCACATGACCTTAAAGCAAGCAAGGGGCATTATACCGAGTTGTTTAGCCACTGGCATCATGTAGGCTGTGGTCTTAATATGAAATTTGAAATGTAAGACAGAAAGAGAGAAGAGAGAGAGAGAGAGAGAGAGAGAGAGAGAGAGAGAGAGAGAGAGAGAGAGAGAGAGAGAGAGAGAGAGAGAGGTCTGAATAACGATGGTCACAGAGTGCAGGGGTCGGTGCGACACAGGGACAGGGACACAGCCCTCGGGGACACCTGGCAAACAGAGCCAAAGCGGATATACATACAGAGTGACGTCATCATACAGCCTTGCTAGAGGGGGGGTGGAGTGAAAAGGAGGAAGAGGGGGGGGGGGGAGGAGGAGGAGCAGGAGGAGGAGCAGGAGGAGGAACAGAGGGGGGGGGAGGAGGAGGAGCAGGAGGAGGAAGAGGGGGGGGGGAGGAGGAGGAGCAGGAGGAGGAAGAGGGGGGAGAGGAATGACCTGATAAAGGGCCTGACAGCTGAGTGGACAGCGCTCGGGATTCGTAGTCCTAAGGTTCCGGGTTCCATTCCCGGCGGAGGGGGGAAACAAATGGGCAGAGTTTCATTCACCCTGATGCGTCTGTTCACCAATCAATAAACAGGTACCTGGGAGTTAGACAGCTGATACGGGCTGCTTCCTAGGGATGTGTAACAAAAAAGAAAAGAGGCTTGGTCGAGGACCGGGCCGCAGGGATGCTTAGCCCCGAAATCATCTCAAGATAACCCTTCTTTCCTGTTCTTTTCATTTGATTTGATTCTGATTTGATTTGATTCTTATTAATATAATAATGTTGTATTAATATTGCTTTACTTGACATTTTTAAAAGTTAGATTTTTATTATTATTGAGAAAATCCACTTGGGCTGTGAGGCGGGCGCGAACCTCTGACCCTGACATTGTCAAGTCACATACTGCACCACGAGGCCACCACACACTCGTGACACAATACCTCACAGCTCTAGCAGATCTTCTCACTGATTATATATAATATATATATATATATATATATATATATATATATATATATATATATATATATATATATATATATATATATATATATATATATATATATCACGTTAAAGTGATTTACGTGTGATTATTATTATTATTATTATTCGTTTGATTATTATGTTGAGAGGGAAAGAGCGGTCATTATGACCACAAGCGAGAGTGTTGCTTATTATTGATCTGCCAGCTGGCACAGCCCGTGGTCACGCCTGTGTCTACCTGCAACGGTGCACACGTGTGCACCTGCAACAGTGTGTACACGTGTATATCTTCAACGGTGTTGACATGTGTGCCTGCAACAGTGTGTACACATAAACCCAACGTAGACAATATTAGATTAGCAGATAAAGACAAGGTGTAGCCACAGCGAGCGAGCACAACCTGAGGACACAGACCGGAAACTGGAAACACAGACGAGCTGGAGAGACGCGAGGCAGTTTTTCTTTTATTATGCTAGTGGTAAACAAGTGGAATAAACGACATAGCTAGGAGGCGGGGTCCAGTAACTTGGTCTCTCTTCCATCAAGCACGAATAGGGCAAGCACATACACATACAAAACTTGCCACTATACTCATGGCATGAAAATCCCACAGAAACTTGACACAGAGGAGAGCACTGTACCCGGGCTACAGGTAACTGTACCCGGGCTACAGGTAACTGTACCCCGGTGCTCAGGCGTCTTCACTGGGAACATTCTCGGGAAATTTCTCATTTACGTGACTCTTCCTTAATTGTCTTTGCTCCGTTGGCCGGCGTCACGTGATTCTCTTAATTATATTTGTGTCTCTCGGACCACTAAACTCCTTCAATTAGTGACCTAAATTGTCAAGGTCTTTTCATGCTTCCGAGTAAGAAAGAGTTGGAGGTCTGTTAAATGCTTGACTTCTGTGTGTGTGTGTGTGTGTGTGTGTGTGTGTGTGTGTGTGTGTGTGTGTGTGTACTCACCTAGTTGTACTCACCTATTTGTGCTTGCGGGGGTTGAGCTTTGGCTCTTTGGTTCCGCCTCTCAACCGTCAATCATCTGGTGTACAGATTCCTGAGCCTACTGGGCTCTATCACATCTTCATTTGAAATTGTATGGAGTCAGCCTCCACTACATCACTTTCGTGTGTGTGTGTGTGTGTGTGTGTGTGTGTGTGTGTGTGTGTGTGTTCGTGCACATCCCTGTGGGACCTGGGGAAGCAGCTGTTGCCGTAATCAGCTGACCGAACACAGTGAACGCATCGTCATTGACAGTCGTTCACTCATACAAACATTAACAACAACAATTAATTTACTTTCACACAACAAATTCCTCTTCTCGCATCATCGAACGAAAACAAAACAAAAAAAAAGAAATCTCCACCTACCAGCAGTTGATCACTCCCACCAGCAGGGTTCCCATCCAGGGAGCCGGTCGGCCGAGCGGACAGCACGCTGGACTTGTGATCCTGTGGTCCCGGGTTCGATCCCAGGCGCCGGCGAGAAACAATGGGCAGAGTTTCTTTCACTCTATGCCCCTGTTATCTAGCAGTAAAATAGGTACCTGGGTGTTAGTCAGCTGTCACGGGCTGCTTCCTGGGGGTGGAAGCCTGGTCGAGGACCGGGCCGCGGGGACACTAAAGCCCGGAAATCATCTCAAGATAACCTCAAGATATCCTCCCCTCCCAAAGAAGCTGTTGGTCAGCTGTAACAATAACAAACTCGACGGGATTCCACCACCTCACACAGACGGAAACACTGGCGGTGTCCGCGCCTTCGTCAGCGGCGCCGACAGGCGGTCATAATACAGGTACCACTAAACATTGACAGTGACTAAACCTTGACAGCGACTAAACCTTGACAGCGACTAAACCTTGACAGCGACTAAACATTGATAGCGACTAAACATTGACAGCGACTAAACATTGACAGCAACTAAACATTAACAGCGACTAAACATTGGCAGCGACTAATACAAGGGGCTCGAATTCTGAGGTAGAGGGGGAGGTATAGTGGGAGTCGAGATATTATCCTTCTCATAACAATCGCAGTTTCCCCAGTTTTGATATTTATTTTATGGTTTGATTTTCATTTCGAGTCCCTATAACATCTAGAATATAAGAGACCTATATATAGTACATCTTAAAAAATACAATTTAACGGCCCAAATGATCGCAATTGGCGTTGATTTCCATTGGCACTTGAGCCAAAACATAGACAAAACTGTGAACCATTTCAACGTCAGAATGCGGATATTGAAATTATTAATCCTGTAGTTTTGATTAACAAATTAAACAATGCCTCAATTAATCAGAATGTTAAGCTAATCAGGTTCAAAGTTGGTGTTTTATTTACTAATCTTCCAGTGGAAGATATTTTTTGTTCTGATGGATTGACTATGATTTACTTCTGTCTTCTGATATCATTGACAATCTCGTAACTTTACTTTAAAAAATGAGTTATATTTTCAAACTTTAGGTATGCCAACGTCACACCCCAAATCTCCACTGCTTTGAAATGCATAGGTCAAATTTTCCTTATAAATATTTATTTGTAAAATAACCCATGATATTATTCCACGATTTATATATATATTATATATATATATATATATATATATATATATATATATATATATATATATATATATATATATATATATATATATATATATATATGCGAACAAGCCTGAATGGTCCCCAGGACAATATGCAACTGAAAACTCACACCCCAGAAGTGACTCGAACCCATACTCCCAGGAGCAACGCAACTGGTATGTACAAGACGCCTTAATCCACTTGACCATCACGACCGGACAAAATGAGGTGATAGCCGAGGCTATTTGAACCACCCCACCGCCGGCACTCGGATAGTAATCTTGGGCATAGCATTTTACCAAATCACCTCATTCTTTGGGGCACACGTGAGGAACACAAATGCGAACAAGCCTGAATTGTCCCCAGGACAATATGCAACTGAAAACTCACACCCCAGAAGTGACTCGAACCCATACTCCCAGGAGCAACGCAACTGGTATGTACAAGACGCCTTAATCCACTTGACCATCACGACCGGACAAAATGAGGTGATAGCCGAGGCTATTTGAACCACCCCACCGCCGGCACTCGGATAGTAATCTTGGGCATAGCATTTTACCAAATCACCTCATTCTTTGGGGCACACGTGAGGAACACAAATGCGAACAAGCCTGAATTGTCCCCAGGACAATATGCAACTGAAAACTCACACCCCAGAAGTGACTCGAACCCATACTCCCAGGAGCAACGCAACTGGTATGTACAAGACGCCTTAATCCACTTGACCATCACGACCGGACAAAATGAGGTGATAGCCGAGGCTATTTGAACCACCCCACCGCCGGCACTCGGATAGTAATCATGGGCATAGCATTTTACCAAATCACCTCATTCTTTGGGGCACACGTGAGGAACACAAATGCGAACAAGCCTGAATGGTCCCCAGGACAATATGCAACTGGGGACCATTCAGGCTTGTTCGCATTTGTGTTCCTCACGTGTGCCCCAAAGAATGAGGTGATTTGGTAAAATGCTATGCCCAAGATTACTATCCGAGTGCCGGCGGTGGGGTGGTTCAAATAGCCTCGGCTATCACCTCATTTTGTCCGGTCGTGATGGTCAAGTGGATTCAGGCGTCTTGTACATACCAGTTGCATTGCTCCTGGGAGTATGGGTTCGAGTCACTTCTGGGGTGTGAGTTTTCAGTTGCATATTGTCCTGGGGACCATTCAGGCTTGTTCGCATTTGTGTTCCTCACGTGTGCCCCAAAGAATGAGGTGATTTGGTAAAATGCTATGCCCAAGATTACTATCCGAGTGCCGGCGGTGG